AACAAATAGCTTATATCAATGAAGGAAAAAATATATATTTAATTTCATTTTAATGATTTAAAAAAATATATTAAAAATAAAAAATGTATAAATTTTTTCTGTACAAAATAAAAAATTATTTTAAAATTGCCTAAGAAAATTACTTCATTTTAAATACCACAAAAATAATGTAAATTTGACCTTAATGCTTCTGGTCTATTGAAAGAAATGAATAATATTTTTAATGCATAAGTTTTCATTGAATTCATATAGAATTAAAATCAAATTTTAAATTAAATTAATAGTTTTGACATCATTTTCAAAGTGAACTTAAGCTTCATTACACACAATAAATCAAATTCAAATCTTAATTTTTTTTTTTTAACAAATTCTTCGTTTACTTTGAACTTCGTTTACTTTGAACTTGTCCCACTCAATTTTGGGTTATTTATTTGAGTTAGGGCATGCCAACGTCTTTATATATTGGTATTACCGAAAATGGTCACCACATGCGGTTGGCCAATAAATTTGTTACACTATTTTATGAGCTTTTAACTGCCTTTGTGGCTACCATGTTTTGTCGTGGCACCAAAGCGCAGTCTCATAAAATGTCATGTAATTGTTGTGCGTGTGCGTGTGTGTGCACCTGTCCACCTGTATCGACAGCCAACCAACCCAACATATGTATATATATATATATTTGCATAATTTCACACTAAAAAATCAAAGCTGCGCTGAGATGATGCGCCTTTCTTAACTGGGCTAGTCAATAGATTTCCAGTCTTGATTTGGGATTTTTCGTTTGAATTGGGCCTCAAACGATTGGCGTGTTTTGACAATTCAGCGATCTTGTGATTGGCATGTGAGCGTGTATGTGAGTGTGTGTGTGAATTGGGCAACCGCTTTATAGATATTTTATCCATTCAGACGATAATCATAGCTTGTTACAATTCATTTAAGATCCATTTGCATATTTATGTGCATTTAATAGAGTTTTGGTTTCGTTTTGCTATGGCCACAAATATCAGCGATACGCAGATCATTTTGCCACTCCGCGATATCCATTGTCTTTATGCTAAGTATGGGCTGTGAACGAGCTGCGCTCTTGGTTAATTGGCCAGAGGTCAAGTTTTGGCCATTGTTATTAGCGCGATAACGAGCTGAAGTTCAAGTTGAGCCTCGTCAAATTTGACATGTTTTTGATCAAATTGAATATGAATGAATTTGTGATAGCGGCGGATTAGATAACCACCCAAACGCATTTGCCCAATCATTATGATAGGCTCAATGAAAATCCGTTCCCCAAAGCAAGAAACAACGCCTCTCTGCCTGTGGGGTATATCCACACAGCATTTCATAATAATAAAACTTGAAAAAATAATACGAAATTACCAATGGGCGCGTATTACAATAAATTTACAAACAGGGAAAAATAAACACACAGACACACACACGCATGCACAGAAAAAGTTGTTTAGTTGTTGTTTTCGATTATATATTTTTCTCTTTTTCTTTTAAGTTTTAAGTTGTTTTTTTTTTTTTTTTGCGGGCGCATTCGCGTAATGTTCACCCATTGTTTGGCAGCAGTTGGATTGGCGTTGCTTGATCAAGAAAAGGAGAGCTGGGATGAAGAGGAGCGCAAATCTTTTCTTTCTCGTTTTTTGCTGTTTGCATCTAATGGCATGTTGAGGTAAAAATGCAATGTCAATGGCACTCGGCACTCGGCACTCGGCACTGGGCGCTAGGCACTAGGCACAAGGCGCATGGGCAATTCGGTTTCACTTTTATCGACGCTAGAGCATCTGGCTTTTAGGAAGATGAAGATGATCGAGTCAGCGTCGGTGTCGGCGTCGGCGTCGGCTTCGTATTCGATGCCGTCGCTGTCATTTGCCCAGCTCAAGTGGCAATTGTTGTTTCTTTTGCTAGTTTGTGGCTGCTGCTAACGTTTCATCTGGTGGCTGTTGATGCTGCTGCTGCTTCTGCTGCTGCCGCTTTGTTTTGCTTATATTGTTGCATTATTTTTGTTGTATTATGTAAAATCGTTTACATTGTGTGCACGCCGTCGTGTGCCACTTAGAGTGGGGAACTGGCTGCTTGGACTGCTGTTGACCTTTCAGCACAATAATAATAACAATAATGGCGCGTCAAGCCATCAAAGCGTTTAACGTAATATGGAAAGGGTCATACAAAAACAAAAGACTTAAGCAACGAACTTGCCACTAAATCCCCCACAAAAAGAAACTTTGTGTGTTGCGTGCTCACAATTATGCACACTACACTCAATTCGGATTTATTTACGCGCTCTGTCAAATACCTTTCAACAATTGATGCCCAACGCCAGCTAGAGTCATGGATATGGATATGGATGATGCCATGCGATGCAACGTAAAGTCAGGTGTCGCTGTCGCTGTCGCTCACGGTGTTGCTGTTGCTGGCTGTGTCGGTGTTGGTGTTAGTGTCATTGCTGTTGGATGCCTATGATTTATGTGCTCGACGTGGTGAGGAAAAGCAAACTGTTTTAAGCATAGTAAATTGTTATTTTGACAGTTGCACAATATCGTGCATCGCCTGCGGACGGATACAGATCTACGGACACGTTGCTCTAACTTGTCGCAGCAGGCTCACCGACTGTGCGGGCGTTTTGTGAACTCATGAATTGAATACCTTGTGAATGAGCCGATCGTGTGTTGCGCTTTTACTTTTATTCAATTACCATCGAGCAACACGTTTCAATAGCCTCGAAATATGTCAAGTGCGCAAAGGAGAGCAGATGCATGTAGGTGCTGAGGGGGAACCAAACGCCTCTCAGCAGAGCTGCATAAATGCGCAAAGAAATTAGAGAAATCCATTTCTTGCAGAGATTATAAACTTCTTTCTCATCTTCCACTTTTTACCTGTGATGATCTTGATGATCGATGTCAAAGAAATCATAAAAAAAGAGATGAGCGTTTTCAGGCTCAGCAATAAAAACTGTGATGAATTACTCCATAAGAAATAAGAGATGAGCTGTTTTCATTATTTTCACATCCATATTTTTTGCATATCCAAGCCTCTTCGATTCCCTTGGGCATTAATCACTTTCAAGTGTTTGCGCACTGCAATGCCAATTGCTTGTTTACTTGTTGCTGAAGGTCTCGTCTGGGGACAGTACATGATTTATGTAGCAGCTTGCTAATTTTGGCCTCGCTGGTGAAATCAGCAGAAGAGCCACCGTCAGCAGCAGCAGCAGCATCGGCAGTGCCAGTCGCATAATCAATTTTAAGCATTGTCAAACTGCAATTATGCAATGGCGAAAAGTGAAATTTTATTGCATGTCAACAGCAGGCGACAGATGCACACATCTTCACAGATGACTTGCCTGCCTGACTGCCTGACTGGCTGACTAGTTGGCTGACTGCCTGGCTGCGTGGCTGCTTGGTCAGCGTCCAGTGCCAACTCTCAACTTTGCAACAGGTCGAAGCACCAGCTTCAACTTCGATTGCATAAGTCGAAATCGGATATGGCAGGGTGTGTTTAGTAGCTCACCTGGTATTGGCTGTGGCATTCAGAAAGAGTTGTTCAATGAAAGAACCAGACCAAAACTTTCAACTACCACTTAATACCAATAGGACTGATATGTGTACGACTTAATTTAGTCACCGAAACTAAACTGTGGCTTACCAACATCAACTGTTGTTGTTTTTTGCGCCTGAGCAGCCCTGAGATATAGTGGTATCTATTACGTTTGATGATCTTTATGGGTATCGAAGCTGGGCCACGTTTCATCTGTGAATCAAATGAGCTCTACATATTTGCTAATTAAATTGTTTTATTGCCCTGTGGGGCATTGCCTGGGAATTAATTTATTAAATGGCATTAAAAAGCCATTACTCAAATGACTCCACATGCAAATCAAATGACTGCCACGAGAGACCAACAACAAGTGTGTCTATGCAGGTGTTTTATGATCTCTCGTCCATCGATCGATTGGCTCCGCTCTGACAAACTCCCACACACTCTCCACGATGACTGTCAAAGCGCCAAATTTGGGCGTTGCTGACTAGTGGATTTCGCTAATTGATGATCGGCTGAATATCCGCCTATCTGTATGTATGTTTGTCTATCTGCTTGTCTACCTTTATAATTTAATTAACAGACCCATGGACACGCCCTCTTGATAATTGTACAACTTTCTACTAGTTTTTAAAAGCTCATCATCCTACTTTCTAATGTATTAGCTCTGCGCGTGAGTAATTGCCATAAAGTCCAGCTAAGGGTCAATTAAAGAGTATTGCATATTATATGAATGAGTATTTATTCAGCTAAGGAGAAGTACTCTTGATATAATCCTATAAATTTGTGTGATTTATAGAACCTAGTTTCGTTTTGATTGATATAACTAAGTTTAAAGTGGAGTAATTGAATGAAGTGCGAATCGAGTAAGCCTTTAATTGCTTGTCAAATATATTGTAAATTTATGACTATCCATGCTTGGCCAAGTATGAGCCAATTTATCAATTCAGAACGGATGTACAGCAAATAAATTTTTTTTTTTTTTTTTTTTTTCATTTTTTTTTTAAGTAACACTAGATTTATTACTGTAAATGTCAACTTCATAGTGTCTTGTGAATTTTTCTACAGTGAATCTAAGATATCGTTAATTTTGCTCTCATCATTCATTCTCTAAGCTATAATCACAGTAAAACCTCACTCTAGTATCAAGTTTCTGATATTCTTTTTAAACTTATGTCTCAAGGATATTTATTTTCATTCAGGATATTTATTTTTTTGCTTTTAAGTTATGTTTAAAGTGCAAAGTTTCATTATCAAATAAATGTTTCAAAAAGCGCCCAGAAAAATGAATATAAATTATAAACATTTTTGACTTGTTTCACAAGCCCTTAATATTTACAAATTAATAATCTCTAAAAATTATCATTATAGAAAATGTGATTGGGAAGAACTTAAAAAACATCAATTCGTATCTCTTTGAGGGAGCAATTCACAAATGGAACCATCTCGATCAACTCAAAAATACATACCAAAAGCATATTTCCCTTTAGCTATGTTCAGGTAATCCAAGTGTTCCGCTTCGATTCAAACTAATTTAACGCGAATTAGTTGTTAGCTTTTCTGGTTGTTGTTAGAGGCACAGTTGTATTATGTTGCTTACAGATAGTGCTAGGGTCTGGGGAATTTATTCATTTCATTTGTTTAACGCCTTTAACGAGTGTTGTCGCGCTGCACTTTAATATTTGGCGCGTTAGTCTCGCTTAATTGCAAAACTTCGAATCGTTTCTTTCAAATTAGCGAACAGTTCACACCGACAGCTACAACGACCGGTCGATCGATCAATTGCTGGCTGTTTGTTTTGGTTTTGTTATTGTTTTTGTTTTTGTTTTTGGTTTTGCACTGGTCGCTTGGGAGGGAATAGCTGTGTGCGGCTGGCCGCTAGCTGAACAACAACTGAACCGTCTGAACGCTCGCTGCAGACTGAAGCGTACAATTTTTGAGGTTTCCCTCGCCTGCCTCAACGGACCAAGCTGAAGATGCTGCCGCAATGTTGCCAGCGTTGGCGTCGGCAGCGGCGACGTCGACTGCAACAGCGACAGCGACTGCTACGTCAGCATCAATGTTGCCAACTGTTGATCATGTCTAAGACGCGCTGTGACTCTTGACAGCCCAATGAATGAAAGCCACCTCGACTTGCAGAGTTTTGTTTCTGTTTATCGCCCGAGTGGCCCTTATGGGCTTTTTGAACTTGGCTTTGGAGTGCAGCGGTTGCAAATTAAATCTCAGCACTTTGCCCCACATAAAGCAATCATAATCGGGCAATTCTACAACAAAAGGCGAACTGTTATTTAATTAAGCCGTTCGCTGGGGTCTTATGCGTGTCTCATTTTCGACAACTAGGCAGACGGCGCGTCTCTGACGCCACTTTCCAATTCGCCTCGTTTCTGGCTCTGGCTCTGTTTTATGATGCTTTCCGAGTTATTTAACTGAATGCGGCCCCATCTTCACAACTGGTTTTGCTTTTTTTTTTATTTTTTTTTGTTTTGGCCATGCCAAAATCCTTGCCTGCAGCACTGGCTAAATCTTAATGAGCCGCAGCCGCAGCCGCAGTCGCAGCCGCAGCCACAGCCGCAAACATGGCCAAAAGGCCAGCGGGAACACGCGTCGCGACTCGAACTTGCCCAGGCTTCAGCTCCATCTTCAGCTCCGACTGTAGCTTCCGCCTGTCTAGCCGCACAATTTTTGGTAAAAATTTCTCTCAAATTAGCGCCATTTATGCATGCAAATTAGTTCAGCTCTTGGCCACGCACCGATTTCCGTTTCTCTCAGTGGCTTCCTCTTGGCCTGCACTTTTGACCAATATTTGCGCAAAAAGTGCATTTGCTTATCTCATATTCGTTGCATCCACTCTTTGTGTGCTTTGTTCAACTGTTGACCGCTTCAACTGTTGGCCACGTTTGCATCTGCGCCTTGCTGCAACTCTGATGAGCTGGAAGCTGGAAGCATTGCCTCGCTTTGGCCATGAACGGCTGACCTCAACGCACTTTTCAAGCAATGCAGCGAGCTGAGGACCATTAGCTACGACATGCTCTTTATTTATTATTGAAGAAAACTTCCATTATTTTTATTTAATCTTAAAAAAAAAAAGGTTTTTTTTTAGAGATAGCCTCGAGCTAAGAAGCCAAATCGAAAGTATTGAGACTCTAAAGACTTAATATTATTTAATTAGTATAATTAGGTGGCTAATTATACTTATTAAATAATTATACTGAATAAATAGACTGACTATAAAAAATATTAAATACATTATTAGATAATAAAAGGAATGTTAATTTAATAATTAATTTYGATTTCAATTTTAATGTTTTTATTAAACTAGCTTATATATAGATTTTCCTTTTCACTCTAGCTGAAAGTAAGTCTCGAGTTAACATACACCTTTTATGTACTTATGACTATAAGTTAGACAAATTAACAGTATTGTAATTGCACATAATAACGAGTTGCGTTGGCTTTGGACAAGTGCTGAGCTGCGTTATGTGTGTGGCTCTTCCGCAGTTGACTCCAGGTAAGCAGAGGTAGTGAAATAGCATCACAATTTGCCACATTGCTAACAGAAAGCACTTGAAACTGGTGAAACCATAGGTATATTCACAGACACAAACACAAGCACAAACACAGATACAGACAGGCATTAACCGGCGCAGGCACATCATTTAGCGAATATTATTATTCGTATTTGCGACACGTTTAGCAAGGCTCAGCCTGCGCCCAAAAACCAAACATCGATGTCGATGCCGGGCCACACAATACCATGGAGCATTGACTATGGACCATGGAGCATAGACCATGCCATGCCATGCATAACACCAGCTGTAGGAGCCGAAACCTGCTTTCTTCTTCGTGACTTTTGGTATTTGAGCGGGGGCCTCATCTTGTGCGCTTTGAACCCGTTTGCACCCTTTTCCGTTTGCCGCCTTATCGCATATGTATCGTATATGCGTTTCTCCATTCAACTGGAAACAAATTTTCAATTTGACTTTTGGCCAAGCAGTCGGTCGAAGCCGAGTAGCTGGCTTTTTGCCATTTTGTACGTCGAACAAATTTGGACTGTGGCAAAGGCAAAGCCTGTCCAGAACCGCCATCAATTCGATCTCTGTGGCAGCTGCACACGGCTCCAAACTGAACTTCGGGCTGAACGTGAGCCGCATTTTTCGGCTGCTTGTTAGCCAGCTCTCAAAATTGAAAATGCCAGCTCTCATTTGGACCCATTGGGGTCGATACGTATTGAAGGAGCTGCACATACTTTTGCCTTAGGCCAAATCGCTATCAAACGAATCATGGTGAACCTTATCTATTATATATTGAATAAAATATAATTAATTTTGTTATTCTCCTCGGTTGCCCAAAGGGGGAAGCTGTGCTGCGGGTATTCACACTGTCTGGCATTCGCATCGTTTCAAATACTCGTAAACCTCAATCAGATATTCATCGAAATGTTGTAAAATTTTAATTGATCTTCGCCAATTTAACAGCATATTTTGTGCTACTTGGCACACCTCCTAATAACTACAACTAATAACTGATGGAACACGAGTCTGCATAATGAATTCCACTTCAGCGCGTATCTTTGAGGGATTCGCGTCTCTATTATGACATGCGCCTGTCAAAATGCCGCAGCCAGTGCCTCCGTCAGAAACGCATCAAATCGGTATTTATATTTATTAGTGGCAAATTAAACAAGCGATCACGTTGAGCATCCGACTATATAAATAACAGAAGACAATTGGGAAATCTGTTCAAAATATGATATGCTGGCTCGCCGACGATCGGGCGAACAAATCGTTGGTAAGACAAAGGCCTTTGTGAGCGGCGCGTATTAAATAAACATGTCAATAGGAGCAGCAGGCAATAATTTGAAATGCAAATAGTATAAAAATAGTAAAAATGTATAGGCAATGGATGCATTGATCCAATCGTTTAAGGTGTGAAATATAGACGGCACACACACACACACACACACACACACACACACACACACACACACACATGCACATTTGCGTTTTTTTTTTTTTTTTCGATATTGGGATTTCAGATTGGACTGGGATGCGTATTTGATTTTGAGTTTGGAGGTCAACATCGTCGTATCAGAGACATTTGATACGGATCTTGGTAGCCATTGCGGGTTTCGATGTCGAAGTCGATGTCGGCTTCAGGTTCGATTTCTGTTTTCATTATTCAGCATGGTTGCGTCCATTCCAGATTATATGAAATGAGTTTTTAAGTAAGCTAAATCAATCATTTGGCAGCTGGTTAATTGTTGGCCACACCCGACGAAGGCGTCTTCGGTTTCACTCTTGATACCCCCACATTGTCTACTTGTTAAGCTACTGACATGCTGGGCATTAATAGGCAGCATCGCTTTGTTCCACCAGCTGAACTCCTGGACAATCCAGTCGCCCGTTGGCCAGCCATTGTCTGAGGCTTAATGTCAACCTGGCACATTTATCTTCGGCCAACTGTAATTTTTCAGCGAGACCTCGGCCAGATCAAAAATCTTTCTTATAGAAATTGCTGAAACACTCCAAATTATGGCATGGTAACTCGGATTGAGTTGCTGCATGATTGACATGCTAATTCAATTTATATTTGAATTTCTAATGCACACTTTTCCCCCAGCACTCTAAGAGCTCTTTGATTGTGATAGCTGCAATTGATGTTTGCATTCATGAAGGTTTTTAAAAATTATCCACAAAATCGTTGCAACATGCTCTTTATGAATATTTTAATGAATGACCATTAAATCAAACTGTGAGGATAAGATATATTAAACAGAAATCAAATTATTTTTATTCGTTTAAATTTTCCCATAGCACCAACAAATATTTGAAATTAATAATCAATTTCACTGTAATTTCTTTCAATTTAAACACCAGAAAATTGAAAAGGAGTAGCTCCCTGCTGATTATATAAGTGGACTTTCTACCCAGCTCACTTAATTAGAATTTCGCTATGCTCATAAATACCTCACACCACGAGCAGAAGACAGTCGATTATGATGTGAATTGGCTGGCAGCGCTCATAAAACACCAAATGCCAAGTGGAAGCCATTAATAACGAATGTGTTGGGGATTAGCGYGGCCCAGCCCAGCCCAGCCTTGCCCCGAAATTGACCTGTTTGGGTTTTATGTAACAAAGTGTCGATATAACTAATAATATCATAAATCTTGTCCAATAATTTCTTTGAGTGTTTTGTTTTGTTTCTGTTTTCGGTTATTTGTTTCTGTTTCTGCGCTTTGGTTGCATCAACTTTGCGCACTTTGCTTCACATATTTAAAACACAAAACTCAGACAAAAAGAAATTAATTTGGTTTATTTGTGAGCTCGACTGTTCCTAAGGTGATTAGCTGTTCGCCGATGAGCCCCGCGACACCCACACCCACCAGATTTAATGGATGCGCTGCCCGAGGCGCCACAGAACGCCCACCTGTGCTGACTGCGTGTGAATAGACCAAACAAAAGCGTTTCCAGCGTTTCCTCCACATACATTATACGCATATATCTCTATAGCTGTCTCTATAGCTGTTGTCTGTATTGGTTAAGCCGATCTATTGTTAAGCTGGCTCATCATTTGTCATACGCGTTGGGGCTGATGGACAAGGTTACTTGGCGCTGCTTTGGCTGACAGTTTATTTTCAACACATCCATATGTATCTATATAGCTCTGCTTTATTTGCTTTCAAAATAGAATATGAAAACTCTTTACACACACATACACATATACACACACACACACACACTAATACATACGTAATTTTAAAATTCACACTACATTATGCAAAAATAATATCCTTCTGCTTTAATAATGATCAGCTTCAGTTGTTCCCTAATTTCTGTTCATTCCGTTAGCTTTGCTCAGAGCTGGCTATTGGCCAGGTGATTGTCGATGACCACCTGTATGATGCGCATGCAATCCCTTTGCCTGGCTATGGTATTGTCTATCAGCTGCTCAATGAACTGGCTGGCCTTGATGTTCGTATTGGGCGGTATATCCTGGGTGCAGCTCACGTACTTGTTAAAGATCTCCGTATTCAGGGACGTGGCCAAATAGCGTTCGCTCTCGTCCTGCTGTAGCAGCTTATTCAGCACCTGTGCCGCGGCCAGCAGCTGGTCCTTGTGCTTCTGGTAGGCGCGTAGTTCCTGCAGATTGCCATAATCCACGCCATTCAGCTGCACGTAACGCTCCCCGTCCTCCCCGGTGGCCTCGCCTGCCTTAATTGACTTTTTTGTCAGCAGCTGGCGTATGTGATACTTGCGCTCCGTCACGAAATTGCCCAGCAAATAGCCTGCGAAGCGAGAACAAACGACTCATTAGCATGTGCCACACGGCATATCCGGGATTGCCGCCCACCTGAGATGAGCATGAAGAAGCCAATGGTGAGCAGGAGTGAGGCGCAGGTGCGCTTCGTCACATATTCGCGCGAGCTGCTGCTGGCCCGCACAGCCGTCTCATAGCTGAGCACCTGATGCATGCTGAGCTCCTCCTGCGTAGCCTTCGCCTATCGGATGGATATCTTATTTTGCCTTTAGTTAGAGCACACTCTTAGAACCTGTTCAGCTTGTCTTGGCCAAGTCTTGTTGTGGCACATTCTGTCGAGCAAACGAGGCAGCTGCAAATATAAATAGATAAGGGAATATGAATTAAATGTAAAACTATATCGAAATTTAATGCTAATTAGAATGGCTTTTACGACAATGCCCGCCATTAAATAATAATAATATGCACATCCATTAGCCAGTCTGTTATATATGTATATGTTTGTCCCAGAGGCCATTCACTACGTTTGCCACCAACAGAAAATTTTAATATAAATTTTTGTCAATTTCTAAATGAACAATGTGCGGTAAAATATTTGATAAATTATAAAGGCTGTGAGTGCCACGAGAGGAATTCAGTATAATAAATGGGCAAAATCGCAATTTATGCTACGTTAGGGAAACCTACGCAAACGCAAAAATTTGCAAAACTTGAATAGAGCTTGAAATGAGACTTTTGGCAATTATGGGGAAGCGTGCCATAAATAATAGCTCGTCTTAAGCCAATTCGCTGTGTGGGAAGGTGAAATTGCGCTCAACGTGGCGTATACGCGATATTTCACATTAATTCCATAAGTAGTAAATTTACGCCATAATTATGAGCTATAGAAATATTTTCATTCAATCCTTATCTGATATTTTTTTGAAATAATATAAAATATTATTTAATCTGTGCATCTGCAACTGAATAAATTTTAAATTATTTTAAATAAACTACATATGTATATATTTGTTCCTTAAAAAGCAAAGTCCAATGAACTCTGCCTGCGGGATCTAAAATTAAAAACATATTTCAAGAACAGTTTCTCACAATCCTATGAGCTGCACTCGGCCAGCGGCACTTTCACTTACCCAGCTTTGACGAAACGAAGAACCCTTGCTTTTTGTACTTTATAGCGTGATGCTCCCCTACATATAATACACTTTATATGTATGTAAATACAAAGTAATTGTTGTTTTCTCTTCAATTACAAAAAAAAGCTAGAAATATATAATATTTTTGTTTTTCTTTTATTATTTTCCGGCAGTGCGCGTTATCCTTGCGGCTCTGTTGGTCCGGTCCGTTCGCCTTGCCACCGACTTGTGCACTGAGCACCAGCCACAGTCAGGCATCGGCTTTAATATAGCCAGAGCCGGCGACAGTTGGTGGTGAATTCGCTTCGCATTGCTCCTGTTACGAGCGCTGCCTGTGGGTGGGTGGTGCATGGGCGCAACTTTTCCTTGCTTACTTTTCCCTCATTTCCTCGTTTGGGTCAAGTTGAGATGCGGCTGTCTGTGTGGAGGCGCTTCACGTGAATGTAGAAATGCCGCAATAAATTCATGATTAACGGACATTTCAATTTGAGGCGTGCATCTTTGAAGCCGTATCGATTTTCAGACAGCCGACGAGCGGATAGACTAGTTCCCCACATACTTCGCATGGTGTTAATGCCATCGTTTGTTCTCTTTGGCCCGTTGTTTCCTGAAACGCGCCTACTTCAAGACTATCACATGCAACCTGTGCCACTTGTGGTGGCAGGTGCGAGCGTGGGTGTTGTCTTGGATTAGTTTACGCCTTACACTTTGATGTTGCCGCTTGCCGACTATTCCAGGTATTTAGTGCACCTGAGCGCAATGTGAGAGAACGGTAAACGTAGGTGCTGAATGTAAGTAAACTTGGACTTCAATAGTTATTTCTAGTGCCACTTCCAAGGGCTCATACGCAATATTGTCCTTTCCATAGCCAGAGCTAAATACCCCTTGCTCCGTTTTTCTGGTAAATTGAACAGGCTCATGGGGCTACGTATTTGTTTTATTTTTATTTTACCTCACATATTTACCTGCATCTTCTCAAGCATCTACTTGTTTCGTTTACAAAAATAAATCATGTAATTGTGTAACAAAAAAATGCAACTTGTCAGGCTAAAGTTGAAGCCGCCCCCAAAGCTGTTGCCGTATAGTAAATGTTGTTGCAGTTGCCGCTGTTGCAGTTGTTGTTGTTGTTGTTGTTGTCAGTGAAAGTGGAACTTGTGCTAACAAGCAGCAATATGTCCTCCTGCCTCTCAAGGGCCGAGAGATACATTTCGCTCGTTTACAAGTGCCGGGCGAAACGAAAGCCAGGATGAAGCCGCCCGGCAGGGGTCGGAGGCGAGGTGCTCGTGGAGGCCAATGTTTCATTAAGTGAAACGGCTTTTGCCACGCTCTGTGCGCACTGCACATGCAAATGGCCACCTAAGGGGGGCGGGGCAACTGGATACAAGTGAGGACTCCTCGTGTGCGATTCAAGCGCAGAAAGGTTTTTCAAGGCATTGCAGAAATGGGAACTAGTTCATATGAATGCTAAATGAATCTCCCAATATTAATTCAAAAAGTGTCATTAATATTAATTTCTATTTATGTAATCAGTTTGCACCTGCAATCCGGTTCAATTATTTCCAATTTCAATATAGTTCTTTCGGTTTTAATTAATTTCCCCACCCAGGCACAGCCCACTCATTCGCATTTGCAAGTTTAATCTCAAAATTCCATTTCGTACACACAGAGAAATGTCAGCGCAGTGCAGTGCATTGCACTCTGCATCCTGCATCCTGCGTCCTGGAACGTGCGAGCTGCACGCTCATCATCAGCCACTGCACTCCACACACAACTTGAACACGTTCGACGCCATTTTGGCTTGCCACCCACTGTGCCAACCTGTGCTTTCATGTCGCACTCGCATTTGCTCTGGCAGCGCATTAATTTCTAAGTGCATTGACATAGAAACACGCACAGCGAACGCACAAAAGTAGGCAACCTGCAGCTGGCAACGTGCAACATGCTACGTGCTACACGGAATTCAGTCAAGTAGTGCCACTTGCAACCAATAAGCGACAGTTGTTTCTCGTATTGATGGACATCCTAATGCACATCTATCAACGGAATAGTTTTTCATTGAACTATATAACTATTTTTTATTATTACAGTAAATTTTTTCTTGACGATTTTATCTTCATAAATGCGACTTGTTGCTGCCTTCAATTGAAGATTCAGCTTGATTCTGCTCTCTCTCTCCCTCACTCACTCTCGCTCTTTGCTGACTCTCTTTAAAGCTCTGACTCTCTGTGAAGCTTTAGAGTCGTGTGCATTTCATTGTAATAAAAGCTCTGACTAAAGCTCACTGTTATACATGAAAGTTGCAAAAGCCAACTAAGCATATGACTCTCCATATAACTAATCTAGCAAAGATACTGAAAAATGTCCAAAGCTTCATTTGAGCTGTTCGAATATCTATTGTCTAGTAAATGGCAGCTTAGCTTTTTAAGTCCATTTTTAACAGCCTTCTTTGTTTATTATAGAAGTGTGTGGTATATTAAATTCTTCATCTCTCTTAATTGACAATAAAAATTATTGGTTAAACGAAACATAAAAACTTAAGTAGCTGTATAAAATACAAGGTAACCAAAAGCTTAATACTTATTATTATTAAGCCTGTTTATCGTTTTATGTTTTGTTTTCAAAATATCTTGACTAGCCAATTAAGAGAGGCAGCAATAAATCTTAGTTAAATCGTATAGCTCGGACAAACCTGAATTTATTTTGGCTTATCATCGATTCCTAGACAGCATTGGCATATCACTTGCTTGGGCATATCACATTTTAGTAAACGAGTGCGACTAGTTTGTGGGGCTTCTGAAATCGAAAATCGAACATAATTTGTCTCGCATTCTGCACTTGTTTCCTTGCATTTCTCACGTGCGTCGCACTTTAGCCCGTTGTGCAGAATGAAATGCAGAATGTAGCAGCAATCAGAGAGCTCTGAAGTCAATTGGCGATTAGCATGGGGCCCTGGCGGCGCCCATTGACTTGTTTTGCATACGCATTGACCGAGTTTTGAGCAAGCGCTAATGTAATTAGCGACATATACCACGTCGTACTGGCCAATTGCGGGCAGTTGAACACGGCTAATTGAAGACACCGCATCGGGCAGCACAACGGCAGACCACATCAGCAATTGTGCAAAAGGATTAAACAAACAATTGCCCAGGACATTTGGTGGCGTGTCGTGTCAACTGAAGATGTAAAGTGCTGGCTGAGCCGTTTTTTTCCAATTGATATTATTTAAATAGAGGCAGCGGCATTATGGAAACGGACGCTGAAAAGGCGGCTGGCTCCCGCCTGGATTACGATCTGATGATGGCCGAGGAGTACATACTCAGCGATGTGGAGAAGAACTTCATTCTGGCCTGCGAGCGCGGTGATTTGCCAGGTGTCAAAAAGTTAGTATTTACATAGGATAGAAACTCTGACAGGCTAATCCAATGCTGTGCGTCTTACTAGAATCTTAGAGGAATACGCGGCGACACCGTCGGACAAGTTCAACATCAATTGTACGGATCCCATGAATCGCTCCGCTCTGATATCGGCCATTGAGAATGAGAATTTCGATCTGATGGTCTTGCTGCTGGAGAACAACATTCAGGTGGGCGATGCTCTGTTGCACGCCATATCCGAGGAATATGTGGAGGCAGTCGAGGAGCTGCTGCAGTGGGAGGAGAGCCATCACAAGGAGGGCCAGCCCTATGTGAGTTGTCTGATATAGCCCTTATAGCCCTTGGCTAACATTCTCTCTCGGACCAGAGCTGGGAGGCGGTGGATCGCTCGAAGTCCACTTTCACCACGGACATAACGCCGCTGATTCTGGCTGCACATCGCAACAATTACGAGATACTCAAGATCCTGCTGGATCGAGGAGCAACGCTGCCCATGCCGCACGATGTCAAGTGAGTGCACACTCCATCATCCACTCCTCCAGGAGGAGTTCATATTGGTATTGGTGTCGTTGCCTTTCCAGGTGCGGTTGCGATGAGTGTGTGACCTCGCAGACCACGGACTCGCTGCGTCACTCGCAGTCGCGCATCAACGCCTATCGGGCACTCTCGGCCAGCTCGTTGATAGCGCTCAGCTCACGTGATCCTGTGCTCACCGCCTTTCAGTTGTCATGGGAATTGAAGCGCCTGCAGGCCATGGAGTCGGAATTCCGTGCGGAATATACGGTAACTGAAAGCTGAAAAAGGATTCTTCTTAATTATAACATTTTGTTGTTAAATGTTCATCAGGAAATGCGTCAAGCGGTGCAGAACTTTGTAACGGCGCTCCTGGATCACGCGCGCACCTCCATGGAGCTGGAGGTGATGCTGAACTTCAATCACGAACCATCGCACGACATCTGGTTTCCCGGCCAACGGCAGACACTGGAACGCCTGAAACTGGCCATTCGCTACAAACAGAAGACGGTCAGAGATGCAGCTCATCTACCTTATGCAATGTATTCCATTTGCTGATCCCATTCCAGTTTGTGGCACATCCAAACGTTCAGCAATTGCTCGCTGCCATTTGGTATGAGGGTTTGCCTGGCTTTCGGCGCAAGCAAGGATCCCAGCAGCTCATTGACGTCATCAAGCTGGGCTGCAGCTTCCCCATCTACAGCTTGAAGTACATCCTGGCACCAGACTCGGAAGGGGCCAAATTCATGCGCAAGCCATTCGTCAAGTTCATCACGCACTCCTGCTCCTACATGTTCTTCCTAAGTGAGTGCTGAATATCTTTAACTATTTGAGCTTCTCTCAACTCCTTTTATTTTTTGGCGAATTAGTGCTTTTGGGCGCAGCTTCGTTGCGTGTGGTGCAAATTACATTCGAGCTGTTGGCATTTCCCTGGATGTTGACCATGTTGGAGGATTGGCGGAAACACGAACGAGGCTCACTGCCGGGACCCATAGAGCTGGCCATTATCATGTATATTGCGGCGCTGATATTCGAGGAACTCAAGAGCTTATATTCCGATGGCCTGTTCGAGTACATCATGGATCTGTGGAACATTGTGGACTACATATCGAACATGTTCTATGTCACTTGGATACTTTGTAGAGCCACCGCTTGGGTGATAGTGCACGTAAGCTGGATCTCTCTCTATTAAGCATGGTTGATCAATCGTCGTCATTGCGAATTGCTTTCAGCGTGATTTGTGGTTTCGAGGGATCGATCCGTACTTTCCTCGCGAGCATTGGCATCCCTTCGATCCCATGTTGCTCTCAGAGGGCGCCTTTGCTGCGGGCATGGTCTTCTCCTATTTGAAGCTGGTGCACATCTTCTCGATAAATCCGCACTTGGGGCCGCTGCAGGTGTCGCTTGGCCGCATGATTATTGATATCATCAAATTCTTCTTCATCTACACCTTGGTGCTGTTTGCCTTCGGCTGCGGTCTCAATCAACTGCTCTGGTACTATGCGGAACTGGAGAAGAACAAGTGCTATCACCTGCATCCCGACGTTGCTGACTTTGATGACCAAGAAAAAGCCTGCACCATCTGGCGGCGCTTTTCCAAGTGAGTCTATCCATATAAGAGGTCTACAATTCGGGCTCTGAGCTAGATTCCTTGCAGTCTGTTCGAGACCTCGCAATCCTTGTTCTGGGCATCGTTTGGCCTCGTAGATCTCGTCTCCTTCGATTTGGCTGGCATTAAGAGCTTTACGCGCTTCTGGGCGCTGCTGATGTTCGGCTCCTATTCGGTTATCAATATAATTGTGCTGCTCAACATGCTAATTGCTATGATGTCGAACTCGTATCAAATCATTTCGGAGCGAGCTGATACGGAGTGGAAGTTTGCCCGGTCGCAGCTGTGGATGAGCTACTTTGAGGACGGCGGCACCATACCTCCACCCTTCAATTTGTGCCCCAACATGAAAATGTTGCGCAAGACACTCGGACGCAAGCGACCTTCTCGCACCAAGAGCTTCATGGTAGGTGAATCCACCCATGGGCCATACCTAACCCTAACCCAGCAACTGGACAATCAAGACAAATCCTTTGGCAAATCAGTTTTAATAAAGCTCCCGTGGCGTGCTTGGCGTCAATGTAAATACGCTTAGCTCGCACTTCAGTAACTCTGCCCCTTTTCCATCCCTTTTCGTAGCGCAAGTCCATGGAGAAGGCGCAGACGCTGCATGACAAAGTGATGAAGCTGCTGGTGCGTCGTCATGTGACAGCCGAGCAGAGGCGTAGGGACGATTACGGCATTACCGAGGATGATATCATTGAGGTGCGCCAGGACATTAGCTCGCTGCGCTTCGAGCTGCTGGAGATTTTCACCAATAACAGCTGGGATGTGCCAGACATTGAGAAAAAGACGCAAGGTAATGCCCAGCTCTCGCCTCAACGTATTGCCACGACATCCACTAAACAACCTCTCCATCCACTTGTAGCCGCTGCTCGTACCACCAAGGGCAAGGTAATGGAACGTCGCATTATGAAGGACTTCCAGATTGGCTTCGTAGAGAATCTGAAGCAAGAAATGGACGATAGTGAGAACGGACGTGACATTTTCGCCTCTCTGGCCAAGGTCATAGGCAGAAAGAAGACTCAAAAGGGGTATATAGATTGCCTTATCTATAATGTAAGGGAGATCTATAACTTCTTTTAAATTCCAGTGACAAGGACTGGAATGCCATTGCCAGGAAGAACACGTTTACCGCAGATCCCATTGGATCGAAACGCTCCTCGATGCAGCGTCATAGCCAGCGCAGCTTGAGGCGCAAGATCATTGAGCAAGCGAACGAGGGTCTGCAGATGGACCAGACCCAGTTGATAGGTGCGTGCAGCTTCCACTTTGCTTTACCCTCACTAATTGCTCTGCTCTCACACAGAATTCAATCCGAACCTGGGCGAGGTGACACGAGCCACACGCGTGGCCTATGTGAAGTTCATGCGCAAGAAGATGGCAGCCGACGAGGTGTCCGTGGGCGAGGCAGAGGATACTGATGCTGAGAAGAAACCAGACGTCGCTGGCGTAATTATAACTGTCTTGTCTCCTTAGTCCAATTGCTTTAATTATAACTTTACAGTCCAAAAAGGCGCCTAGCGGAGGCTCGTCCATGATGGCAGCTGCTGCACTGCGTGCCTCCGTCAAGAACGTGGATGAGAAAGCCAATGCAGGGGACAAGAAAGATGACAAGAAGTCCGCTGATGACAAGGATAAGAAACCCACAAATGACAAGAAGCCTGGCGACAGTAAGCCCGATGCGAAGCCCCAAGCGCCAGCTGCTGCTGGAAAGCCCGCCTTGCCAGCCACCAAGCCGCCAACAGCCGCCAACGGAGCCAAGCCTAATGAACAGTCAAAATCAAGCAGCGATGCAGCCAAGCCCAATGCACCGGCGCCGCCAGCTAAGCCGGCTGATGCTAAGCCTGCGGCCCCCAAGCCAAATGAAGCCGCTAAGCCGGAAGCTGCGGCCAAAAAAGAGGAGGCTGCCAAAAGCGAGGCTGCCAAGCCGCCAGCAGCAGCTGGAGCCGCTGCCAAGAGTGCAGCGCCATCAGCGCCCGCAGATGCCAAACCGGACACCGATAAGAAATCCACAACGACGACTGCCACGCCCAGCGGCACGAAGGCAGCAAATGAGTCCAGTGGTGGAGCAACGCCAGCCGCTAAGCCGGACGACAAGAAAGACGGAGGGGCCCAGAAGGCCGATGACAAGAAGGAAAAGGATGCCAGTGGCAAGCCCGGCGAGACGAAGCCCACTGCAGCAGCTGGGGCTAAACCAGGCGATGCCAAGCCAGATGACAAAAAGCCAGACGACAAGAAGCCAGACGATAAGAAACCCGCAACGGCGCCACTCAAGCCGGCGATTAAAGTGGGTCAAAGCAGCGCCGCAGCCGGCGGTGAACGCGGCAAGTCCACCGTCACAGGCCGCATGATCTCCGGCTGGTTGTAAGAGAGGCCACATCAGCATGTTTCAATAAAATTCTAGTTGGTATTTCTAGCTGATATAAGTACTCAAAATGTGTGTAAACAAATAAACGAAACTTAAAATTAAATTTCAATTATGATTTTTATAGTCATGAGATGGGATTTATGAAGTTTCTGTCTTGCAGTCCATATGAAGCTGAAGTAGGAATAAGTAGTCGCTATCCTCATTTGACAAAGTATTAAAAATGTTACGATACGATAGGCGAAGCAAATCGAAAAATGAGCTAATCAATCATATAACTCTGTTAAAGAGCTAGAGAAATTTAGGTATTAGAAATTTGGAATGAATGCTCGAGTTGAAGGCGTGGCAGGGGTCGTCTGATAGTTAGAAACGAAACTTGTGATGTCTCAACTACTGTTCACTTTCTCTACAGATTTGCTAAGCATTGTATATAGGCTTACCTCTTTAGATTGCGAAATATTGCATAAATCCAAATATTTTGGAACTGGCTGCGATTTGACCATAAATGAATCTTCTGCAGTCGGTAAATGTCGAGTTGTGTACATCATATATGAATATGCATTTACATTATATTTTACAAAATCTACACTATTTATGCATCGCACTTAAGAAATTGCCAAACCAGATAATTTTCGCTTATTTTGCAAGAGAAAAATTCTTATGCTGTAAATATTTTAAACAGATTTGTAACATTGTTGTACAGCAAAAATCCCATTAAAGACATTTCATGCTTCACTACTTTTATTTTCTTGTAAATCTTCGCAAATCCTTTCCACCCATTTGTTTTAGTCATTGGCATCAAGTAGTTAGCTTTGGCAACATTTCATTGCCCACAGGTGGTTGGTTGCTAGACTGACACATAGATACACCAGCACACACACACACACACACACATATACATAGCAGCAAAAGCAATTGCTGCGCCACCACGGGTTGCCTTCTCAGATTGCTGCTCTGCTTTGCCATTGGTCTGCTCCTTGGCATATAAAAGGACTCGAGTTCCGTCCAGCATCAAGCATTGTGTCAGCGCCCATCAAGAAGTAAACATCTGACAAGGACACAAATATATAGATAGCAGAGCCTTTTCATCTACTGAGAAATGAAGTCGTTTCTGGGACTAGTTAATATTGCCTACACAATTCTATTGCTCGTTTTGCTGACTAAATTCACAGCTGCAGGTGAGTCAAGGACTGGAATATAAAAGTGTCTCAGCGTCAATGAGGGACCCATTAATATGGCTTATCCCCACTTGGCTGCAAGTCTAAATCCGCGCGCAATAAATCTCCGCGCAGAAGTGTAAGGACATCGCAGACAATCCTTCAGGCCATTTCAATTTGTTTCTATTAACGCCAAAGCTGAGCAGCAAGCCTAACGATTTTATTTTACAATTTTCACTTATAAATTAAATGTAAATTTAACAATTTGTATATTGTTTCAAATACTTTAAGATATTTCGTTTGGACAGAAATTCGATAGTAAGTGAAACCCTACAAAAGAACAAAATATGTATCTATACGGTTCTATATTTTTATTTACAATACAAAAATATTTTCGTTATTCGATTTTCCCCAGAAGTGGAACACGATAAGATCCGACGAGGTGCCAACATGGGTCTCTATGCCTTCCCACGTGTGGGACGCAGCGATCCGAGTCTAGTGAACAGCCTGCACGATGCCAGCGATGCGGTTACCTATGAGAATATTTACGGCATGGGTGACGCCTCCGCCGAAGATTTCGAAGGTGCGGATTACTAATTTCCATTTGATAATGCAACTCTAACACACTGAAAATCCTCAGATTACCAAAAGCGACCCGGCTTGGTGGCCTTTCCTCGCATGGGACGTAGCGAATCCGAGCTGAGAAAGTGGGCCCACTTGCTGGCCTTGCAGCAGGCGCTGGACAAGCGCACTGGACCCAGCGCCTCGTCTGGCTTGTGGTTCGGACCACGTCTGGGCAAGCGTAGCATCAATGCCAAGGACTACCCCGCCGCCGGCAAGGGCCAAAAGGAAATGTACTAAACGACATGAAAGCCAAGCGCCTCCGAAGGAAACAACAATTCGCACTTGAACACACTAATTTGCCAACAATTTATAATTTACGCAATTAATTAGCTTATAATTAAAGCTCCAATGAGATCGACAAAACAACGGAATATTCTAATGGGTATATAACAAACGAGTAAACATAACACGAACTAACAACGGGCTGGTGAGGGCATGCACTATCGGTAAAATTAGTTTCAATTTGATTTACAAGACCTCCGAAAAGCATTCACGTATGTAAATAGTATATGTGTCTAAAAATCTAAATTAATATTAAATAAATAAATATCTGAAAAGCAGTTTGAAATTTCTGAGTGCTTACTTCGAGGAAGGTTTATCAATATATATATTATTGCATACCCAATGAACACTTCAGGTTTAGTGAAAATTTTATTATAATGAAATTGAAAAAAGAGTATGTATATCAGCGTGTTATATTATTCAATAAAAAGTCTGGTCGTATCTATAAGGATAGCTCCAACTAATTGAATGTGTTAGGTTTCCTATTTCCCTTAATCCTTTTGCTGCTTGAACTTTCGCAGTTCGCTCTGAATGGCCTCGATAAGCGGCGCAGCCGAGGCCGACTGAGCACTCGCCTTACGTCCGGGCGTATTTGCCGTGGAGCTGGAGCTAACAAGTGCTCCACGCGAAATCTCCAAAATGGTATCCGGCCGCTGGAAGGGTCCAGCGCTTAAGGGGCGCACCAGCGGCGAGTGGGAGCCGTTCAGACTGCTGCCCCAAGCGCTGTAAGTGGGCGACGGCGGCTGCGTGGACTGCGCTGACTTTGGCGTCTTCTCCGGCTGTGCGGTGGCTGGCCGCTCGGCAGTGCTGTAGGCCTTCGGGGGAAAGCTGCAAGGAAGGGAAGGAGTGGTTAAACAGTGGCCTGATCACAGGCAACGTCACATACCTGGGTAAGCCGGCAGAGGAGCCGCGATGCTCGCGCTTTGTGGTGCGTCGCTTGTTCGTGAAGTCGCGCGAGGGCAACGGCATGGGCAGATCATCCTGGCTGGCGTACATCTGCATGGCTCCCTCGAGCAGGCCCTCGTAGTGGTTGCGTATGGCGGATGCATCGTGCATGGGACTGGGGCTAAAGTCAGCATAGCTCCGGGCCTCTGCGGAAGATGTGTGGAGGAAGTTCAGTTGATTTCAGTTGAGTTCAGTGGGGATTCGGTTGGATTGCAAGTGGGTTATTTGGTTTAATGGTCTCTAAGCTGGGTTAACTAATTACAGTTGTGTGCAGGCAATATCAACAACAACTAGGACTACAGTTGCCCGTTAGTAACGTGTCTGTGCCCCAATTTGCACATCATTATCATCATCATCATCATTATGAGCATGATCATGGTGTTCACCCGCCTCACCCTGGTTGTCAGCGCTGTTGAGGCGCTTCTTGTGCCGCTCCCAGACGACGGGGCCCACAAAGCCCGGATCAGGATTGTCGCTGTGCGAGGCGGAACGCACATTCCGCACCGGAGGCGGCGCCTTCGGACTGGGAAAACTGGCAATGGTCGCGATGGTGCTATCCCTGCTCCCTAGGGATTTGTGCGATTTGAGGGATCTGTTGGAGTTCTGCGGCGCTGTGGCTTGAGGTGCCACTGCATTCACATTGTCATAGTAGGTAACGAAAACTGGATCCAAGACGCGATTCAGTGGCTCGGGTAGCGTGCTCTTTGGAAAGGCGCGCACCGAGGCCATGGACAGAAAGGAGCCCACACTGGCCGTGTCCGAGGACTTCTCCGAGGGCTGTGCGCCGCGCGAACGTATCATCTCCCTGTTGATGGCTTGCGGGGAGCCCACGGCGCCCTCCTCCGCCAACTCCTTATCCGAGAATACCGTTTGCTGCTGCAGCAGCTTGTTGCGATGGTAATTGTTGTGTGGATTATAGGCCTCATTGCGCTGGAAGTTCTCGTAGTTGCGACGCATTGCAGCCGGAGAGTTGCCCTCCTCGGTTGAGGAGTTACTTTGAGCCAGTGATCCCTGCACTGGGCTGGTTTCCAGTGAGCCGACGCGATTCTCGTTGAGATAGCGACGCTTCGACTTGTGCCGCGACTTCTCGCTCTTCTTCTCCGACACCACCGAGGCGTATATAGTGTCTTCCAAGCCGTTCTCCGCTCGATCATACTGATGCCGTCGTCGCTTGTGACCGTCAAACAGTCGCGCAGCCTTGTCATCCAAAATGCGCTGCACATCAGCACTGGGCGGATTGATGGGGCAATAGACCGAGGAGTCCGATGTGTTGTCCGTAGAGGAGATGGAATCGTGGCGGGTTCGCGTGTGAGTTTCGGCTGGAGGTGCTGGGAAGCTGATGCGAGGCTCCCGCTCATACGAAAAGTTCTGCACGCCCACATCCCGAGAGCGCACGGTGCTCTGCTCAGCATTGGCAGCTGACCCACCGACAGCGCTGTCCAGCAACGTGCCACGCGAACTGGGCCGCATGGACTGGCCCTCCGACAAGAGCTCGTTGCGCGAAGTTGTTCTGCGAGTAGAGGAAACGGGTTAAACTTGGATCTCTATGTGATTTGAGGTTTTGCAACCACCTGTTGACCGCACTTAGCTCCCGCTGGCGGGCGCGCGTTCGTCCCAGCAGCAGTATGGCCACCAGCAGCAGCATGAGCAGCAGAATGGCCAGCGAGCTGATGACCACCAGAGCCACATTGTTTTTCACCGAGTTGAAGAAGCCCGCGTGACCGCTGCGCGGCACAGGTGCCAAGGCCGTGGCCGTAGGCTCTCTGATGTAAGCTGTGAATGGAAGGGGCTTAAATAGTAAAATATAATTTGATTTTTATTCTCATTCATAAACTTACGTTCAGACTTCATGTAGACGGCCTTGCCCAGGGTCTTAGCCGCCTCCGCCTCACTAACCAATTCCATGTCCTTGGCCGCTGTTGTGGCCAAAACGGGTCGCCCGTTCACTAGGACCGTATAGATGAGCTCCGTTTGATTGGCAACGGGTCGTTCATTGCTGCAAGGATTAAAGGTGCCACATGAGTATAATCAAGTACAGCTAGTTGAGTCTATACATGCAATCCCTACAATTTGAGGTTAACATACGCATCAGAGTCAGCGACATCGTTAGCCGAGCTGTTCCACTTTTGCAACTCCGCCTCACTGATTTGCGTGATGTTGTGTATGACGACCCGCACTCGCTCCTCCCGGTAAATAGGTTGCGGTTGCGGTTGCGGTTGCTCCTGTTGTTGACTCAACAATGCCTCGCGCATTTCCTGTAACTTCTCCGACTTTCCATTCTGCTGTATGAGCTCCCAGGGGATAAGCGTTACATATGGGCTGTAGTCAATGGACTCGGTTGCTGTCGTGGGCATTGTGGAGCTACTGAGTGGCTCGCCTGACTCTGAGGAGTCGGCGACTGCCCACTCAGGCTCCTCCCCCGCCGCCCACACGGTTTTGATTTGATGAGTCGGGTCCACCTCCATATCGAGTATTTCCACATCATCGCCGGGCCAATTGGTGGTGCTGGTGATGGTGGTGCCCAAGTCCAGCCCCGGCTGGCGACGCTCACGTGTCGCATCTATGGCAACGCCCGCAATTTGCTGTGCTCCATTTATGCCCAGGTGGCGTGTTTGCTGTCTGTGTGGACTCAATCGAAAGTTAGGGCAGCTCTAGCTGCAACCAGTGGCTGACTCACCTGGTGAAAGCCAAGCGATATAAACGCGCTAGCCTTTGCTCGAGCATGGGATTATCCTTGGCCGTGTAGAAGCCAGACATCACAGTCAGCAGCCAGTAACGGCGATCCGTGGAGGTGTAGTTGAATGGAGGCACGCCAGGTGTGCCCAAATCCCAATTGCCGCCACCATCGTCCGGCTTGCAGTCCAGGCAAATGGGTATCTCGATTTCCTGCAAAAGAAATTGAGTAACCCCAGCTGCAGTTTGACTTCTGACCCGACTTACATTGTTGCCATCCACGTAGACGGTGGCCACCACAGTCTCCGTCTTGACTATCACATCCTTGCCCTTGCTAATGCCCGTGTGCACCTTCTTCAGGTAGTCGGGCGGACCGTCGCCCGAGCCAGTCCAGAAGAAGTCCTCCAAGTGCACCTCATCCTTGATTTCCGAGTAGTTATCATCTGGATCATCGTCTGAAAGTAGCGTGTCCAATTAATTGAATCGCTGCGTCAACTTTTAAATAGTTTTCTGTTATTTTCCCATTTCCCACTTTTATTTTACTTCTTGAAGTTGTTTATTCGCGAATCGGCGCCTGTTATTAAACAGTTTCTTGAACTTTTAGTTACTATAGCAATTAGCTGGGGTGCAAAAAACTTGATGAACTATTTTTTGTAATCGCAGACAAGGGAACTTATGCCATGCATGAATGTATATTATATTATTCCTAATTGCTAATTCATCTGGAAATTTTTTTGATCTACATCATTTTTAATTAATTATGACAACTTTTACTCATTTAAACTCGGATCTGCATTTAACGTTGGTATAGGAAATAGTTAATATATTATATAAATTAAAAGGATATAAAAACATAACTTGCTATATGATTAAGGAGTAATCTAGGTCTAGCATAAGTAGGCCAATGAGTCCATTCATTTGACTTATTGACATATTGATTTATTGAAACGATATCAGAAAGAATAATGTACACAAGATTGATAAGCGATAAATTGTGATATGATTAAGAGGATTAGGCAATAAATTATGCCAGTTATTGAAATTGAAGTCACTTTATAAAATTGAACAAATATAATTTTGTTAGGAATTATAAGAATACTAGAATACCAGCGTATTTTCAAGAAAGTACCAGAGTATCTAGACATTTACTCAGCACTCACAATAAGCTCAAGTTTGTCGTTCAATTTATCGACAAATCATGAAGTTCGGTTACCTACCCAACGTGAGCCACTTGCGCCACTTGCAACGGGGCTTGCTGATGGTGGATTCACTCGCTGCCATTATGTTTATGTATCTTATTTTAATAGCGCATTGGCAAGTTTGTTTGATCAATTGTCGGGGAATGCAGCAGCAACAGCTGTAGATAAATTATGCTGAGTGCACTGCCCCTAGGTACTCCTCCCCCCATCGAGGGGACGTTTAAAGTAGTTCAGACTTAATTATGATGGCCTGGCCTCAATGATGATGACTGAGCACTAACCACAACAATGCCCAGTTAGACAACGGTAATAAATTTATCGATTAGCACTCGGCTCGGTGGCATGCCAGCAAAAATATTTATGGCACCGTTGACCAATTTGGGTGCGTGTTGGCGGGGCAATTAACTCTTACGCATATTTGTGCACCTGTTTCATTATTTTAGTTGGCTCTTTTTATGTCTGTGTGTGCAACTGTTTGGGATTTGGCAGCAATTGTTGGCTTTGTGGTTTATGCAATTACTCATGAATTATATTGATTGTCCTACATTTCGTCAAAATTTACCAGATTTCTACTGGGCAAATTTTTCCGGGCACTGACGCATGAAGTCAAAGGTCAAATCACCAGCCGTGCCACAGTTGAAGGGTCAAGTCGAGCCGTGACCAAATCCAAAAAAAAACCTTTATATATATAAATAAAAATATTTACACCCGTAAATCACTCTCGGGCATCTCGGAACAATGCGTATAATTTCACCTGGCTTGTTGCTCAACTTACCGTGACTCAATTGTATCAGCGACTGTCCAGCGGCTGCCACGCCCCCGCGCCCCCTGCACTCGTGTAAAACGGACAAAAACAATAAAATTGACACAGTACGCGTAAGTTTTGATTTCATTTCACTTTTTGTTCATCTATTGTTATATATAATCTATATATATATTTTTTTAAAGGCACTTTAAACACTTTTTACACTTAGGCAGTTGGTAAACATATTTTGAACTGTTTCATTTATTTGACATATATTGTTGGAATCTGCCTTAAATATCAGTTATATTGCAGCCGATTCGAATTTTAGTTTTCGCGTCGCGTTCTCGCATCGCTGAAAGTTGTCCGGGAACTGAGCATTACGTTCTAATCCAAACTTAGGGGCGCACTCTGGCTCTGCCCTGGTGGTTGTTTGTTTTGTTGCTTCAGTTGTGTGGGTACCAATAATATGTACAGTATGTACACTTAACGAAAAAGTGACTTGACAACATAAATAATTTCAATCTCAATCTAATCATCAATAAAAAATAAATTGTTAAAAATTGTAATTTTTTTAAATTATTTTTTATTATTAAATTATTGCAAATATTATTCTAAAGCTATAAGATATATTTTTTATATTATAAATATACTTGACAAATAATAGCTAAGAGAATTTTCGCATTAAAAAACAATTCTCATCATAAAAAATATTTTGTATTTCTATATATGTCTAACATTGTTTGTAAACATTGGTTACAGTGCATCGGAAACACACGCGGCCTGCCGCATTGACGTTGGTTTGTTTGGTTACTCACAGGTTGCGTTGCGCGGCTCTCTGTTTGGGCCGCTTTGTGTCTGGTCAGTTACCTGTGGCAACAATCAAGCGGGCCAATTGCGCGCCAAAGCCGACTCGCAGCTAATAAACAATTCTGAGCTTTTAATTTCTAGCGCTTTGTTACAGCTATGTTGAACACAAAGTGCCGCTAGATTTTGCATTGTTATGGCCCCATTGATGTGCTAGCTTTAGTTCAAACCAAATTACATTTATGACAAGTTAACGGCTTGCTGCAAGTTTAATGTAAGCTTTGCTGTTAACATTAACAGAGCTGTTACAGAAAGCTGTCGCTGCACACACTCAATTGCTGCCTGCTATGGCACGCAGCAAGCAGGTTAGCTAACAGGTGCTAACAGCGAAACTATCAATATGCAGACAAGAATTCCGGATTTCGACTTTACTACGAAAATCCCCGAACGAGCAACAACAACCTGGTGCGTAGCTGAAGGTCACTACGCACCAGGCTGTGTATTCAAAACAAGTAATTAAACTATTTCGAATACTTTAGCTTATCTTAATCGAGCTACCCCTTGGGCGATGTTTTTGTTTGTGGGTAATAAAGCAAAAACTCCAGTTGTTCAACCATAATTATTTAATAATTCAGTTTATTCGACGATATTTTAAACACATAACCATTATTCATGAGCTTATTTTAAGGCATTCACCCAACATATAAGGAAACTGTCAAATAATCAGTAATTACTCTGGCGTTCTACAAAGAACAATTGGCAGCACCTTGAGTAGAGGTCAGCAACAATGGCTTGGCTTGTGAGCAACTCAATATTCTTTAGGCATTAAGGCATGTGCCCATGACTTTAACATTAAATATACAAACATAGGCTTTAACTTAGCACTTTAGCACTCCCAATGACATTTGTTTAGGCAAGCGACAAGCGTCATACTTAAAGTTGCATTAGCCACGGTTCGCCTCGTGAGTTTAGATAATCTGTCATCAGGCAATGGGCATAATTAACGTGACTAATAATTAGTTAAAGCTCCTAAACCTGTAAATTAAAATGCAAATTATGCACAGATCTGTTGCTTAGCGATTCTTAAACTTCGCTTAAGACTCATTGTCAACTGGCAGCAGACGCCAAAGTGTTAATTTTGATATTGAATCTTGTAAGCTACCAGAAATTTAAATGTCAATTCACTTTGCGTAATAACATATATAGAAACTTGTCTATCCTGATAATTAAAGATGTTGGCATGATCTTGACCAAAGACCAACCACGATTTGTTGCCAAGAACCAGTTTGAAAATGAAACCAAATTGTGGACAATAATAATTTTAATAATATATAATTTTTGCTCTGTTTTATCACCTGTTTTAATTTATGTTCTTAGCAATAAGCAGCATTCCTAACCAGCTGCTGACTTGAGAGATCCAGGGCTCAGCTTACGGTTCTTAATCTGATAGCGCGTCTTATAGCCATCCTTATCAGCTGTGTACATGGTAATGGTATCCGTATCGGTCTTCTCATCGTACGTCGAGTAGGTACCCATAACAACGAGCTGTTCCTCGGCTGTGCCTGGGTTCATAATGACACCAATTTCCTCCCGACTGCTGCCATTGGGATCCTTCAATCTAAGAATGGATAGCAATTCAATAGAATGTGGATTGGTTGGTTGATCAAAGACGGACTCACTCGAAGCGATAACCCTCCTTAGTGGGCGCCTGCTGGTAGAATTCCGTGACTATGGAGGGGAACACATAGTCCAGTAAACCAGCTGAGCAGCTGGTGGCCAAAACAGCCACCAGGGCAGTAACAAATATCTATAAGATATGATTAAACAATGAACTACGTATTGACTTGCAGCTGATGGAGCAATTATAGCTAATCACTCGCCCCGGCGCACAGCAGCTGCAAGTGTTTAGCATTTTAATCACAATCATTCAGGCCGAATGCGAATGCTTTGAATGCCATTCAAATAGTAGCAAGTGTGTCTAAGCTCCTCCCTTGCCTTGGCCGACGGCCTTTGCATCCAACGAATACTCACCAATTTCGCAGCTGTCATGTTGATGCGCGGTGTAGTTCCGAATCGAGACTGAGATGGAATTGCGCGGCGATCGACCAGCAGAGATCTGCAAAGAATATTTCAGCGAGGCGTCGGCGTCGTCTACTATGTGATGCGTCGTATACTTAATATCTTATACTGTTTTTATTTGTTTCGCTGTAGCTACTATTAACTGAAACCGGTCGCTCACTTATGCTACTGAAGTATCTCTATGCAAGTCCCTAACCAATAGGTGCGCTTTTTTGCTTTATATAGCTTTAGTCTTGCGGACTCTGGCGCATCCAGGGTCGTCGAGATTTTGGACATGCTCTCAACGTGGGTGATACAATAAATAATGCAAAATTATCCGAAAATGTCATCTTTGCACCGTTGAGTTGATTTCACACTTGTAAATGTCAACAGATCGCCATTGATAAGCAAACTGAGTTTGAAATATCGAAACTATTGTACATCCAAGTTATTCATAATCACGTCTGCGAAGTATCCACACCAGAATTCGCTTTGAAGTGAAAATTAATGTTCACATGACGAAATGTGTCAAAATTTAGGCCAGGGCTGAGACTCCAAATCTGTATCATTTGATAAATGTTTCAACCTCAAATGTAATTTATTTTTACATAAAAGTATTCAAATGAAGTAAATGTCTTCGGTTCGTGTTATGGCTTGCTTTATGGTACATATAAAAAAGTACATATAAGGAGATAGATATTGTTCAAGACTTAGAGATCATTTCAAATAATTTAATCAAATGCATCAAATTTGTAAATTCAACCCCCATACTAAACTCTTAGCCATTTACGAGAGATTTGAGAGTCCTTCTCATCAGGCCTCGCTTCTTTTGTTCAACGTGTGCTTTGTAGCCGCCCTTATCGGCTGTGTATATGGTAATAGTTTCCGTATCAGTTTTCTCATCGTATGTGGAATAGCTGCCCATCACAACCAACTGTTCATCGGGTGTGCCTGGATTCATTATAATTCCGACTTCCTCGCGCGAATTGCCATTTGGCTCCTTCACTCTTTAAGAACAGAAAGTATCAGTTAAGAACCAATTGCCCTGGCATCAAGTAAAGAGACCTACTCGAATCGATAACTCTCCTTGGTCGACATTTTGGAGTAATACTTGGCTGTTATAGTGGAAATATGCTGATTCAATAGGCCAGCTGAGCAGCTGGCTGCCACCACAGCCACCACAGCATAGAAGAGAATCTGTTGAAAGATCATAGACATCAGCTAAAAATACAGTTTTGTTTGCTGGAATATAGTTTACCAATTTAGCCGCTGTCATGTTGATGCACACTTCAGTTCCGAAATTCAACTAAAACTGAATTTTCGCACAAGATAACATCAAAGATTTGCCAAACATGCTAAAGCTGGGCGTCACCAAATATTCATATTCAACTTTTCTAATTTTGTATTTTCGCATATGAATTTTTATTGGTTTGACATCGCTTTTAATGGAAGTAGTCTTAAAAACTGACTAGCTTTGTATAAAAAGAAGCAACAAGACGGAAAATATATGGTATATCATAGGGTACCTGTCTTTTATGGAGGAGTTTATAATACTCATTATAGTCTCAACTCATGAAAAATAGTAATGGCAAAAAGAGGCGTGGCTGAACCGACGGAATATATATATATATATCCATAAAAACTTAAGATTTTTTAAATCTAAAATAAATGTACCTGTATACCCTTCTCACATTTTTCACATTTTGTTATGCCATTTCTTACTATCGATAAATATGTATATTCTAATTTCATTCTCAACTTCCCTCGCAACTTCTTGGATTTTTCGCCAATTTCGCTGAACGAACGCAACGTCATTTGCGAATTGACATCGCTTCGTGTTTGTTGCATGTTTTTGTTGTATTTCTAATCTTTTTTGGAATTTTTTTTACCATTTATATCATTATTGATTTAAAAGCTAAATATATTTATGTATGTATTTATACATATATATATGCACTCTCGATTTTAAGTAAATTAATAGCTAACGAAAATTTATTGAAATAAATAGTCGAATGAAACTGGTTAGTTGTATTATGACAAAAACAAATTGAGTTAATATAGTCTATCTTTTCGGCCAGTTTCTATTTCTATACCAGACTCGTACATGACACGTTCACCTTGGAGTTTTTTCAGCGTAAAAATGTTATTCGTAAAACTGGGATTATACAAAAACATGTGCATCTGTAAAAGAATGGAAAAAGGGAGTTACGCTACAAATAATGACGAATACTACCTGAATGGATGAGTCAGTAAATTGATAGCTGCAGGAATATCATATAAATTATTCATAATTTTTACTGAAAAGTAAAAATAATTAATTTTTACTTTATTTGTGATGTCAGCATAACACGGAAGTGTTTCCATGTAGAATATATTAATTTTGTAATACTTGCTTTGAGTGGTACTGTTAGTAGCAGTGCTTGTTTATTTTGATTTGAGGTTGAGGTAGTCCTGAGTTCAATATGATGCAAAAGTCGACAAAGAATATATATAGTATATATCCGCAAGATATCTTTGATATTTTAGCAATCTTCCAATTCGAATATGCGATACAAACGTCTCTCTCTCTCTCTCTCTCTCTCTCTCTCTCGAACGAAGTAAATAAATCCCAATAAATACTTATCAAAAGTATGCAGTGCAATCATCTTCGGCTGAATAAGAATTACGCGGACCATGGCATACTTTAGTGGTATTCCATAGCACAAGCTAAACTTTTCTCCACTTATTGTTGCCTACCTTTAGGCTTTTCTTAAATTGAAAAAAATCGCTTTATTACCCTTGAACCTGCACGACGACTATGGGAATTAAATGAACCGTTTTATTAATTATATTTAATTACCAAAAACTTAGATTACTTTCAATTAGCTTAAACGCACTAGACTTTCGCATGTACAAAAAGTAAATTCTCGCTCGATATTCGCATCAGTTTAGTGAACCACCGTGGCTGCTTTATCCAGTTTTCGAAATCCAAATTCAAACTAGAGTAATGTTAAATTCAAAGTTCACTCTAGACAGGCTCTGGCCTCTCCTTTGCTTCATGCTGGTCATCTGGCTGAGCCTGAGCAGCTCAGCCTTGGTGCAGGCCGCCGATGGTGACGATCAGGAGCTCATCGCCTTTCCATCGCAATGCGAGTGCTCGCTGACCATGACCTGCAAGTGCTGCGTGGGCGCAGTTTTTAAGGTCATGGATCTAAATAAGACTCGTATGTTGGGGCCAGTAAATTAATTTCCATATTTAATTTTGTAAACTTGTCGTTCGCAGTTTGCATGTCATTCAAAATAAACTTATTCAAAGCCTCTGTTGATGTGACTGTTACGCTGGATAATGAGCAAGTGTCCAAGTTTACGCTGGACTCCAAAACCACGCCCACTTTCTGTCTGCCCATAATATCAGACCTAACGCCGATGGCCATTTGCCTGAAGATGAGCACGAAGCTGTCGGGCCTGTCAAACATCAACATGTGCCCCAGTTTCTACAGCAGCTTCTCAGATAACCAACTGCTGGCCTTTGATTTCCCATGCCTCAAACTGGGCACGGATGGCTTGAGTTTTGCCTAAAGCATTGTGCTGTGTATGGACGTTGAATAAATGCCGAGAGGGTTACAAACTTCGTTTTGATATTCTTTATTTTTGCTTAAAATTGCAGCAGCAGGAGAAAAAGCCAAATATTTGTTTAGCGCAGGATTCGTTTTAGTGAGAGGCTATATACATATACAAGTAGTGCAGTTCCTAACTTACGTCTAAAGCACTTTTCTGCTCATAGTTCTTATGATATATATGAAGTTATATTGCGGTTCTGCATCAAGTTAGTTTCAATCGTAAGATAAAAAATATATATATTTTATTTTTCAAGACAATCAAGTTGCAGGTGTTAAATATGTTTTAGGTGAGCCCCAGTTAAATAAACCCCAAATAAGTAGCCCTAAATTATGTCGCAGAACCTGGGCCAACAAACGAAAATCAAAAGTAAACTCAAATACAAATTAAAACACGCAATGTACAATAAAACTTACAACTGAAGATCACACAAAGGACTGCTAAACTTAAAGGCTATGCGGCTTAGGACTATATAGAGATATATGTATATATATGCATTAATGTTATCCCTATCGATCTATCGATGAACGTTTATCGTTGATCGTATATCGTTTGTCGTTTGTGTAAGCTAAGTAGGGATGGTGCATGTTAACAATATTCGTTAGCCGACTTCCAAATGCCCTTGCCAAGTGCTGCTCCAACTTCGGCTTAACCAGCTCAAGTGCTACCCAATGCAGCGGACGTTGACGTCGACGTCGCCGTCGGCGTTGGTGGGGGCGGCACATCGCTCACAATCGCCTTGCACATGACCATCCTGACTCCGGCTAGGAAGTCGGTTAGGTAACATCATGTGGGCCGTGGCGGTGCCGCCGCCTTGCGCGCGGTGCACATCAGCGCCACGGGCGGTGGTGGCGGCGGTGCGCTGCGCATTCGTGGCAAGGGCTTCAGATCACCCTTCGGCTGGAGCTGCTTTGGCTGCGTCGTTATGACCTTTGGTATGGTGCCCAGACGCTTCGCCTTGACAAGATCCGCATCGGCGCCGCCTTCCGAGCTAACCGAATCGTACGAAGAGGGCGTCGGTGAATGCCTGCGATTGCCCTGTTCATCCAGCTCAACATCATCATCCGCTTCCGCATCCGCATCCTCCTCCTCATCGTCGTCGTCGTCCTCGCCCTCCTGCTCCTCGATCATCGTGCGAAACTCCTGTATGGAATCGTTTAGCGCCCACAATTGTGACAGCAGTGAGAGATCCAGTTGACGCAGTCCGTACTAAATGTGGGGGAGTAGAGAAGCAAACAAACGTAGGAAATTAGTCAAGCGCCTTGCCACAAACAACAATATTAATATGCAACATGTACAAGTTCTTGACGTGGCCACCAACGCGCCACAGCCACAGCTACAGCCACAGCCGCAGCCACAGCTAGAGCTCTGCGCTGCAACTTTCAAAAAGCCAAGGCAAACCAATATATATATAAAACGTAAGCCACGATCTTGGCTGACTGACTGACTGAATGATTGACTGACTGCCAATTGCTGTTGCTGTTGCTATTGCTGCTGCTGCTGTTGCTGTTGTTGTTTTTATAGAATTGACATTGATTGACAGCGCCGCACAGCAACTAAAACTGACGGCGAGTGTCCATACCGGGGCACACCCACAAGCCCATAGAAAGGTTCGCAATTTGCCTGCCATTGACGTAGAATCTTGGAGACTATAGAGTAAATATAGAGGCTACAGAGCGCTACGACTTCCCTGTGAAGTATGGCGTCAAATGCAAACATTAATAAAGTCTGAGACCCATAAACCAATTTGAAAAGCAAATATATGACTAAACTTTGAGACAGTGTCCAAGAGTTATTTGATACGAACGAAATAAGTTACCCAATGCTTCTATAGCTTTTGATATACTGCTGCCATCTTATCAAATGGCCAGGAGATTATAACTCAGAGTAGCTTGAGGCAACTTGAGATAACTTTAGTATATTTAAAATACTATTAATAGAGCGTAAGTTAAACTAGAATTTTATGATTTGAATTTTATGATCTGCTGATCTCATCTGATCCAATAACTGAGAATGTATGTATGTAGTTTAAAGAGACTTTAATATACCTTAAATACATTCAAAATACTATTTATTTATAGATGGTGGCTTTATATACCATTTATATACTAGAACTTTCCACTATATTCAAAGAGTATCTCAATGTAAACATATTGAAAGCCATCCGTCTATCGTCTATCGATATCTTTTGCATTTCACATTCTTCTTTCGCATTTCGCCTATGGCCACATATACATATGTGCCATGACAGCGTTCATCAATCTGCCGGCTGCTATCGCGGCCTGACATTTAACAGTTCAGCGGCCCGTCAAGAAGACTGGGCGACTGACTGTGGTCTGTGGTCGGGTCTGGGCGTAGGGGGTTGGTTGGTTTTCGGTGCAGCAGCAGCAAAAGGCGTATGTTAACCTAGGCAGCAACCGCATTTATGGCATTAAGTAACGTGACAAGAGTTCGCGGCGCGTTTGATAGCGCCAGACAGTTGGCGTCAACCCAAACAGCAGCCATCGGAGACCCGGCTCCAAGCACATTGGCCAGCCACGTATGCATATTGCCTTGGCCTGCATTTGTGGAACTCAGCTGCGGCTTGAGCTTAAGCTGGAGCTGGAGCTAGAGTTGGCGTTTGAGTTTGAGCCGGGCTGACAACGAGACGCTTGTGGTCAAAATGAAAGTTCCCCTGTCGCTGTCGAGTAGGAAGGAAAAATCTCATTTGTCAATTAATATCGCCGCATAATATCTCGCCAGCAAACGCGCGCGCAAAAAAAAAAAAATACATATATATAAATATATAAAAAGAAAAGCAGCACAACTTTCTGCATCGTTGCGGCTTTAAACAAATCCGCTCAAAGCCGGCAATGCAGCGTATCCCCAACCACCCTCTCTCCCACTCTTCGTCCAAACGCCAACTCCCACTCTAAAGTGGGCTGCTAATACGCTAGACGCCAGCCAAGATCTGTCCGAGATGGGGGGAGATCTGCGGCTGCGGCTGCATCTTTAGCCATCTGATAGCTGTGAACTGAGGCTGCTGCCAACTGGCTAACTGGTCAACTGCATCAGCCTGTCATACGGCCCGTAATCCTGACAAGGCAAAGGCAAACTACCCCAAGCAGCAGCTATGAGAAATCCAGAGCACCCATCGAGTGAAAGCTTCGCAAGGCTTCCACAAAATTCAATTTTAAACATATTAAAACTAATTATATTTGAATATTGATAGATAGATATTTTTTGATAAATATGAATATTATTTATATAGAATAATTAAGCCAATATACTACACCAAATAAATTACAGGGTATTTCAGTTGTCAAACTGCAGCTTAAAGTAACTTTTGCTGACTTGACTAGTTTGATTAGCCTCATTTGCGCTCTAACACAGTTCAGCCACATGCATTAGCACAATTACTATTGTTACAAACACCCACGCACACAAACACAGCCAGAGGCACACACATGCATATATGTTAATTGGCAATTAATTAAGTTGAAGCCCTAAGGCGACAAGTGCAGCAGATTTTGCAACTGCCAGTGCTAGAGAACCAGCTGCAATTCCAATCAAGCAGTTGGCACAGTTTACACGCCCCCACAGTATGCAAATATGTATCGAAAGATATAAATATATGCAATGGTTATATATAGCAGCCGATATATGCCCATTTCCGCATTACACGCCTGCCCACAAAGAGCCAAGCAGTCAAGTAAAGCACACAAGTGCTAATAGAATTTCTCGCAGTGCAGTCGAGTTCAAACTCTGTTTGCGGAAGACAAACAGAGGCAGAGTTTCTGTGGCTTCGCAGCGCTCTGCGAGTTATGGCTAAGAACTGAAACTAAAAAAGTGGCACAAAAGCTCTGCCGCAGTGGTCCAATTGCAACTTCGAGCTGAACTTTGCGACCACACGGCGTATGGGTAACATATTGCATATGTGTGTGCAACTGCAGCTGCAGGCGACCAAGCCCACACGCACACACATACACACAGCAGCAGCAGCTACTACTCGTCAGCTACTCATGAGGTCTCAGCAACTACTCATAAAATACTCACTTCAATGTCATTGAGGCATCGCCATGCATCATTTTGTAATTAACAAAACACTGGCAACTGGTTTTGTTTACAATTTTACCTAATTAGCATTAACATTTTGCCTGACCTTGAGCGGCGGATGGCGTCGAGCAAATGTGAATGCAAATGCCCCAGAAGATACAAGATACAAAAAGGTGTTGCTCACTCAACACCGGATTGGAGAATAACTGTTTAACATGACGAACAAAAAAATAGCTAAATATTGTATAATTACAAATAATACTAAATATTCAAGTAGCTTTTTTATGAACAATTATGGCTATTGTCCAAGTTTTCTAATTACTAATCTTTGCTAATCAATTTTTCAAACAAACGATCAATAATAATTATTGCCTAAGCTTAGTTTATATTTTATTTAATAAGCGAAATAATTATAGCTATAAAATGTATATATAATGAAACTATTATACAGGCTATTAGCGCACAACAGTGCATAATACATATAAATAATAAGCTTTCGATCTTGTTTATAGATTAAGTTTTAATCAATTGAAATCAAATGCAAATTACATAATATTATTTTCATTTAAAACAAATTAAAAGTGCAATATTTTTTTGATTCTAACAAAAAGATTTTAAACTTTGACCTTCAAAAGATTTTAACGCAAGTTGGGGATCGTATAACTTTGCAGGAGCTTAGGAAAATGTGGCTCAAAGACTAAATCAATCAATAAAAAAATCGTGAGAGGAATATTAGAAACAGAGCACAGATATAACTCTAGTAAAGATATCTGATAAGATCTCTATGAAACTCAGTGGATATGCAAAAGTTATTGTCGAATGTGTCATGAATGGAATACTTATATATACTTATATGTAAACACAAGAATACACACCAATAAACAAATACATAAAGTCCAGAAACTTGAGGGCTATAAATTTGCAAGTCATATCATTATGACAGTGGCCGGCGAGTGTGCCGCAAATTTAGCATTAATGAGTTTTTAAAGCGTTTGTTCTTAACGTCCTGTTTTTCTCTTTTTATGTTTTCTCATTATGCAATGCGAGGGGCAGATGGCAGGAGGCAGGTGGCAGATAGCAGCTGGCGCACGGCTGCTGCAATCAGCATTTCATAGTGATTAAGCCCAACGCATGACGACATTAGCCAAAGCAAAGAACCAACTTTCGCCGCGACGCACGGCTCGTAAAGAAAAGTGCAATCGATAAGGCAGATTGTGGTTGAAAATTTAATTAGCTTTAAGCGCATTGCGCTTAAAAATAAATAGCTGTTAAAGAAAGCAACAACACTCATAACAACAAAGCCATGGGGGAAGTATTATATTTTGTTATGCACATTAGTTGTAGCGCGCAATAAAAGGCGACGACGCGACAGAAGCCCTCAAAGTACGTGTATCTCATGGATGCAACGGCCATAAACTAGCGACACACAGGGCCCAACATGCGGCAGCAGCAGCAGCAGCAGCACAGTTGTTGCATGCATTATGCATGTGTGTCTGCAGCTTGCGCCTGCATCTATCTTTAGCCGGGGGCCACAGAGGGGGCTGTTGGCCCGGGCAGCGGTAGGTTTCTGCCTTTGGGGCGTTGCGACGGCCACACTTCAAACATTTGTGCGTTGCTCTTGCAGCGTGAACTTTGGTGACCGCTGCTGAGCACGAGTACAAGAATGAGAATGAGAATGAGAATGCGTTGCAAATGCGGAAGCACCTCCCCAGAGATAAGCCTTGGCCAAAAACAAAATTGTTTTTTAGTTGGCATTGTCACTGCTCTAGGCAGCAGCTGTTGGCATACCCTGTAGAGCCTGAAAGTTGTAAACGTGTATGCTCAGCTCTAAGAATAAGAAATATTTATAAATTAAATTATAAAGATAGTAAAAGTTTTAGTTAATATCAATAAAGAAATACAACTTTTCCTAAATAAAATTTTTACTATCTTAATATTTGTTATTTGCTAATTGATATAAGAAATAAGAATTTTGTAGAGTTTAGGCGTTTATCAGACTAAAA